GCTATCAGAAGAACACAATCGCGCTCAAGCGGTAGGTATTATCATTGGGACAGTTGTGTCCAGAGAATTTAATGTACGAGGTGGTGTTAGGAGAACGTTGGAAAGATTCTCTGGCTACCAGGAGAACACAATCCATAAGGAGATACTTTTCTAAGAGAACTGTTCTGGTGTACCAGGAGAATATCATGCATAAGGACGTGCTTTGCTCCTAATACACTAAGTATCTGTTAGGAAAATGAGGTACATTTTTTTGATACCAGGAGATCATAATACAAAATCAAAACAATAGCAAGCTTCCTTTTAAACTCTCGTATCAGCAGAACAGAATGTGAGACCTAGTGTCTCTACATCTAATTAATGGGGTATTATTGTTAAGAGGATGTTATAAAGTTTCTCTAGCTAACAGGAGAACACAATCACTCAAGTGCTATTTTCGTTTAGACCCTTGAATCCAAATAATTTAGTGTACGAGGGGGTGTTTTTACTCTTAGTTCACGAAGTATCTCTTAGGAAAACGTTGCAAAGATCTTCTAACTACCAGGAGACTATATTAATCCATAGGGAGGTATTTTTCTAAGACGTTCGTTTAAAATGTTATATCAGAAAAATATAAAGTGTGAGGTGGTGTTTCTACTCTTTGAGAACAGGTCTCCAACTCAGTTCAAAGAGCTTATTTTCGTTTCTGTTGTATCAGGAGAATATAATGCGCAAAGAAGTGTTTTGCTCCTAATACATTGAGTATCTGTTAGTAAAGCGAGGTAAGTGTTTTCCCGATACCAGGAGATCATATAGTGAGAAACGTGCCAATACCTTATTTGTCTTTAAACAGGAAGATACCTATAATGTGAGAGGTGGTGTGTCTATTGTCAAGTTCCTCCCACCACCAGGAAAACATAGAAAACATGAAACTGTGTCAACACTTCATTTTCGTTCACACTTTTGTACAATTCACAGAGTATCAGTTAGGAGAACATAATCCATGCTCGAAAGAAACGTTCCTTGCTTTGTATAGTCTGTTCTACCAGGAGAATATAGTGTTGAAATCCTTGTATCAGTAAAATATAAAGTGAGAAGTACAGTTTCTACACCTAATTCACTGAGTAGCTATTAGGGAAACTTAACAAAGCGCCTAATACAACCAGGAGAACAGAATCCAGGCTGAAAAAAATGTTTCAACACCTTGTTCTCGTAAAATTGTTGCATCGGGAATAGAGTGTACGAGGTTTAATCCTAATTCATTGAGTATCTTGTTAAGAAAACGTAGCAAATTTACAACAACGGCCAGGAGAACATGATCTATACGCAAGAGGGATATATATTTTTTTAAACTCTTGGATGAGGAAAATATAATGCGTGAGGTAGTGTTTCTACTCATAACCCGCGGATTATGTGTTCGGAAAGCCTTGCAAATTCTCTTCGATAACCAGGAGAACACAATACCTCGTGAGAAACGTTCTAGCACCTTATCTTTATTTAAACCGTTATACCTATTCGGAAAGTGTGATATGTAAGGAGGTATTTTTGGGTATTCTGTGAGTAATGTTGTAATGTTCCTCTAGCTACCAGGCGAACAATAAGACGATATTTTTGTAATCTCAAGAAAAGTGCCAGGAGAACATAATTCAGAAGGCTTTTGCTAATCTTAAGAGAAGTTTTCCAATACCTCATTTTCGCTTAGACTATTAATGTATCAGAAAAGTGTCATTTGCAAGGAAGTGGGTATCTATTAAGAAATGAGTTTTTTCTAGCTGCCAGGAGTTTGGTAAGCCGAATTCTCTTTGTAAGCTTAAGAAAAACAACATGAGGTGACGTTTTTACTCATAATTCGGTAAACTTTATGTCATAAAAGGAAAATCCACGAGAAGGTCGTTTTGTACGGCCAAGAGAAATGCTGAAACAGTACTGTTGTATCAGGAAAATATAACACGGAAGGTTCATAAGAATTCCTCTAACATGTTATTTTAATGGAAAATGTCCCAGGCGAATATAATGAGTTTTTCTCTTAATAAAATTTGTATTTTTCTTTGATACCAGGAGATCATAATACGAGAAAAGTGCCTATACCTTCCTGACGGGACTGGTAGAAGGAATATAATGTGCGAGGTAGTCCTTCCGCTTGTAATTTATGGATTTTTTGTTAGAAAATGTTGGAAATTTTCTCTTGGTGCCAGAAGATTCATGAGGAGGTCTTTTTGTAAGCTCAGAGGAGACGTTCTGACACTTTTTTGTCGCTTAAATTCTTGTGTCGAGAAAATACTGCTCTTCTACTTCTCATTCACGGAGTAGGTATATGTTCGGAAAATGTAAATTTTGTCCAACTACCAGGAGAACATAATCCATGAGGAGGTCTTTTTTTAGCTGAAGGGAAATGTGTATCTTCGTTCGACTGTTGCATTGGGCGAACATAATGTGCGAGATGGTGTCTGTATTGTTTGTGGACAGAAAACCTCATAGAAAAATGATAAAGTTTCTCGTAAAACCAGGAGAATATAGTCCATGCCCACTAGAAATATTCCAAGACTTCATCACTCTTATATTAGGAGAATATGATGTGAGTAATGGCGTTTATACACATAATTAACGGAGTTTTTGTTAAGAAGGCGTTTCTCTAGCTACCAGGAGAACATAATCGCCATAAAGAAATGTTCCAATACGCTATTTCCATTGTGTGAAAAAATGTTAATGTACAAGGTGGTGTATCTACTCTTAGTTCACAAAGTATCTGTTAGGAAAATGTTGAAAAAGTTCTCAGGAGACCATAATAAATGAGGAAGTGCTTTTATAAGAGAACTGTTTTCGTTAAACTGGTGTATCAGGAGAATATAATGCAGAAGGAGGTGTTTTGTTCCTAATACACGGAGTATCGGTTAGGAAAGAGGTAAATTTTTTCTTGATAGCATCAGGAGATCATAATATGAGAAACATGCCATCAATACCTAAGTGTTGTCTGGAGGATATAATGGTCCGAGTGGTTTTTCTGCTCCCAATTTACGGATTATCTCTATTTTCTGTTGCTACCAGGAGATTCATGCGGAATTATTTTTGTAAGATCAAGGAACACGTTCCGACTCCATATTTTCGTTTAAACTGCTGTAACACGAAAACACAATGCGCGAGGGTGAGTAATTTAAACTTTTGGCACTTAAATCACAAAATATCTATTAGGGAAGTATAAAGTTTCTCCAAATACTAGGAGAACATAATCCATGAGGAGGCATTTTTTTAGCTTAAACTTCTACTACTATATTTTCATCTGACTGCAAAATGGTGTTTGTGCTGTTAGTGCACAAAAAGATGTTTCTCCGATAACCAGGAGAACATAATCTATGCTCAAGGGAAATATTCCAACACCTTACTTTCATTTAAACGTTTGTATCAGGAAAATATAATGTGAAAGATTGTGTTTCTGCACCTAATTCACGGAGTATTTGCTAAGAAGGTAACATTTCTGTAGCTATCAGGAGAACACAATAGCACAAGTACTATTTTCGTTTAGGCTGTGAAGAAAATTTAATGAACGAGGTGGTGAGACCTCCCTTGCTGAAGGGGTATTTCAAGTATCTGTTAAGAATATGTAAAAGGTATCTAGCTACTAGGAGACTATAATTCATAAGGAGGTATTTTTCTAGGAGGAATGTTATACAACTGTTTCTAGTGTAAAATGTCGTGTCAGGACAATACAATGTGCAAGGTGGTGCATTTTGATTGAGAAGTCTGATCGAAAAAGTACGAAATGTTTTGGATTCTACGCACCAAAATTAATAAGAAAAAGTGTTCTCCCGAGAAATTTGGGTGCAGTCGATTTTTGGTAAAAAAGGAAGGTTATACACTGCCTTTTTTTGAAGCCCTTAAAAAAAATTGTCTCAGATCGACCCGGAAAAATTTTTTCTTATAGAATGTGGCCTGTAGAATCCATAATTTCAAACAGTTCCAAGATTGGGCTACTAGTACTAAAGTTACAGCCCTTTGAATTTTCTTTAGAAATTGGTTTCTAGTCTATAACTTTTTATTGAGAGGTCTGATCGAAAAAGTACGAATTGTTTTGGATTCTACGCACCAAAATTAATAAGAAAAAGTGTTTTCCGAGAAATTTTGGTGCAGTCGATTTTTGTAAAAAAGGAAGGTTATACACTGCCTTTTTTTGAGGCCCCGAAAAAAAATTGTTTCAGATCGACCCGGAAAAAAAATTTTCTTATAGAATGTGGCCTGTAGAATCCATAATTTCAAACAGTTCCAAGATTGGGCTACTAGTTCAAAAGTTACAGCCCTTTGACTTTTCTTTCGAAATTGATTTCTAGTCTATAACTTTTGATTGAGAAGTCTGATCGAAAAAGTACGAATTGTTTTGGATTCTACGCACCAAAATTAATAAGAAAAAGTGTTTTCCCGAGAAATTTGGGTGCAGTCGATTTTTGATAAAAAAGGAAGGTTATACACTGCCTTTTTTTGAGGCCCTTAAAAAAAATTGTCTCAGATCGACCCGGAAAATTTTTCTTATAGAATGTGGCCTGTAGAATCCATAATTTCAAACAGTTCCATGAGTGGGCTACTAGTTCAAAAGTTACAGCCCTTTGAATTTTCTTTCGAAATTGGTTTCTAGTGTATAACTTAATAGACAGGACTAAACTCCATGGAAACGTATAGTAAAAATCGTGAAAAGAAGTACCACTTTCCATACGATTTTTCGTTAAAAAAAGTCCCATAATATCATCACTATGTAAAAAATTTCATTTAAATACTTTTATAAATACTGCTTCTATATCACGATGTATCTGTTACATGTTCTCTGACTACCTACTACACGAGGAGGTTAATAGAACTCTCAAAATTGGTCCTTTAATTCCTAAAATCTTTGTATTGTCATTGCTTGTATGAAAAGTCGCTTTTAAAACTATTCGCAATGATGAAATGATAAGCAGATAAAATTTACGCCGAACTCCGCCTGTCGTTAATAATTGAAACCCGCATTACCGCGTAAAAAAGTATAAAAAAATCATCACCAAAACTTCCTCCTGTTCCTTTGGTAGACATCCATTATTCCTCTCGCACATCCTCATCTGCAAAGAAAATAAGATCACTACCCTCCAATATCAAATTAGCGCCTCAATTATAATTTAAATCAGATATGAGCGAGAGAAATAATTTCGTACGTGTGAGGAGGAATTGCGTGTCCACCATTCTTTTCTACGTTTTTTTTTCGTTTCTTTTCAATTTCCCAACCTAAGCCGCTAGGTAGTACAAGGGAAAGTTATGAGCTAATCTTATCCGTTTGATTAATTTCCCTTTCTCACAAAAATTGCTACCAAAATGAATTGTGGCGGCGATGATAACGATAACTATTCCACTTCCTAAGTTTTTCGCCAGCGCCGAAATACAAAATATGCTAATTACGTGAGAGAGTTGTTTTAATTAAGCTTACAATAAGCTCGTGCACGCTATACACGTTTCGTGTAAAATTACCTTTAGGAAATTATTAATATCGCAATCATCATTATCTTTATTATTATATGTTTATTTTGTAATCGTCGGTATTTGGGTAATGCGTTTTCTCGTACGAAAAAGAGTACGCTTATAAATTAGCACCTTTTTATCTAATAATAATGCTCGTAATTTAAATATAATCATAGGGGCACGGGCTTATATCCGGTGTAATCCATTTAAGGAATTACTATAATTATTATTGTATTTTTTGTTTATGTAGAAAAGGTTGGAAGTTTATGGTGAGGAAAATTGCTTTAAATAATCGCAGGAAGTCATTTTCAAATTTTGCCGCATGTCGCTCCCAATATCGCTTATTGCCAAAACTTTTCCGACCCCAATGTCTCTACAGCGCAAAACATCTACACGACAAAATCCCGACATAAATTCTTTTAATGGCAAAATATCTACAATTCAAAATCTCTACTTAATAGGAAAATGTCATTCGCATCTAGGAGGCGAGCTTTTAAAAGCTGTAAGTGTCTTAAGGGCTTTTTAAGAAGGGTTTTAAAAGAATGTTTAAGAACCTATTTTTTAACATTTGAAGGCCCTTTTTTTCAAAATGCTTGAAAGAGCATTCAAAAAATTCAAAAATTTCATGGCACTTTCGAGCTCGTAAAAGCTTTTAGTAAGTGACCATTATGAGTCTCTAATTTAGAGGCAGACCTCTTGAGGGTACTTAAGGTATAAAGGCTCGGAGCTAACTCTAAGGCATCTCAAGCGTACGTGGTGGTTTTTTAAAGTGTCCAAAAGCTTCTAAAGGAATGAGTTTTTGGGTCTTTAAAAACATTTATGGCCCTCCAAGGGATGCAAGACGTCTTCTAGAAGTCTAGAACCTTTGTGGGTTATAGAATTTCAAAATAATGCTAAAAAATCCTCGATATTCTAAAAGAGCGCCTCAAGAGCTGGCACATATTCTTTAAGGGTTTTTAAGGACATTTCGAGGTCTACTAAGGTTTCAAACAACCGGAAAAGCTGCCAAAGTTGCTTAGAATTTAAAGTCGAAATTAACCCCTTTTGTTATGAGGCGGCAAGGGTTTTGAAGCTATAAAAAGGTCGCTTAAAAAACATTTGTAGCAGTATCTTTAAGAGCCTTTATAAACCAATACCAAAAGGCACTTAAAAACGAGTATCTATCTTTAAAAGACTTTTAAAGACTACTTACACCTCAAAAGGTACCAAAGAGCTCTCAGAGTCTTCCACCCTCTTTTCAAGAACGAGGTTTTATGAATCTTAAAAGGTTTTCAACAATCTCTTTGAGCATTGAGCCTTAAAAAAATGTTTAAAACCATTTGAAGGTATTCAAGAGACTTGAAAGAGTAAGAAAAGGTTAAAGAGTCTAAACTCCAAAAATGTCTAAAGAGTCAAAAGGGTCTAAAGAGTCTAAAGAGTCTAAAGAGTCTAAAGAGTCTAAAGAGTCTAAAGAGTCTAAAGAGTCTAAAGAGTCTAAAGAGTCTAAAGAGTCTAAAGAGTCTAAAGAGTCTAAAGAGCCTAAAGAGTCTAAAGAGTCTAAAGAGTCTAAAGAGTCTAAAGAGTCTAAAGAGTCTAAAGAGTCTAAAGAGTCTAAAGAGTCTAAAGAGTCTAAAGAGTCTAAACAGTCTAAAGAGTCTAAAGAGTCTTATAGAGAAAAGACACATTTCTTTTTAAAATAATATCAATTTGTACCTACAGTATTTTATATTCTGTATTGATAGTCGCTTAACGACGATCCAGTTTTGTTTATCATATTCGTTCAAGTAAAATAGTTGAGAATCGTAGTACAAGTGTTGACGTAAAAGTTTTGCCTTCAGCTTCAATAATATTTTAAGTTCGTTTGTTGTGATCGTTAATAAATTCGCCTTAATCGTAATTAATATATAATAATATATAATAGTCTAAAGAGTCTAGAGAGTTTAAAGAATCTAAGTCTAAAGAGTCTAAAGAATTTAAAGAATCTAACGAGTCTAAAGAGTCTACGGACTTTAAGGAGTCTGAGTCGAAGGAGTCTAAGGAGTCTGAGTCAAGTCTGAGGAGTCTAAAGTACAAACAGTCTAGAGTTTAAAAAGTAAAAAATCTAAAGAGCCTACAGAATTAGACAGTCTAAAGAGTGTAAAGAGTCTAAAGAGTCTAAAGGGTATAAAGAGTCTAAAGAGTCTAAAGAGTCTAAAGAGTCTAAAGAGTCTAAAGAGTCTAAAGAGTCTAAAGAGTCTAAAGAGTCTAAAGAGTCTAAACAGTCTAAAGAGTCTAAAGAGTCTAAACAATCTAAAGAGTCTAAAGAGTCTAAAGGGTCTGAAGGGTCTGAAGGGTCTGAAGGGTCTGAAGGGTCTGAAAGGTCTGAAGGGTCTGAAGGGTCTGAAGGGTCTGAAGGGTCTGAAGGGTCTGAAGGGTCTAAAGACTCTAAAGGGTGTAAAGGGTCTAAAGGGTCTAAAGGGTCTAAAGAGTCTAAAGAGTCTAAAGGGTCTAAAGGGTCTGAAGGGTCTGCAGGGTGTGAAGGGTCTGAAGGGTCTGAAGGGTCTAAAGGGCCTAAAGGGTATAAAGGGTCTAAAGAGTCTAAAGAATCTAAAGAATCTAAAGAATCTAAAGAATCTAAAGAATCTAAAGAATCTAAAGAATCTAAAGAATCTAAAGAATCTAAAGAATCTAAAGAATCTAAAGAATCTAAAGAATCTAAAGAATCTAAAGAATCTAAAGAATCTAAAGAATCTAAAGAATCTTAAAGAATCTTAAAGAATCTTAAAGAATCTTAAAGAATCTTAAAGAATCTTAAAGAACCTTAAAGAACCTTAAAGAACCTTAAATAACCTTAAAGAACCTTAAAGAACCTTAAAGAACCTTGAAGAACCTTGAAGAACCTTGAAGAACCTTGAAGAACCTTAAAGAACCTTAAAGAACCTTGAAGAACCTTGAAAAACCTTGAAGAACCTTGAAGAACCTTGAAGAACCTTAAAGAATCTTAAAGAACCTTAAAGAACATTAAAGAACATTAAAGAACCTTAAAGAACCTTAAAGAACCTTAAAGAACCTTAAAGAACCTTAAAGGATCTTAAAGAATCTTAAAGAATCTTAAAGAATCTTAAAGAATCTTAAAGAATCTTAAAGAATCTTAAAGAATCTAAAGAATCTAAAGAATCTAAAGAATCTAAAGAATCTAAAGAATCTAAAGAATCTAAAGAATCTAAAGAATCTAAAGAATCTAAAGAATCTAAAGAATGTAAAGAATCTAAAGAATCTAAAGAATCTAAAGAATCTAAAGAATCTAAAGAATCTAAAGAATCTAAAGAATCTAAAGAATCTAAAGAATCTAAAGAATCTAAAGAATATAAAGAATCTAAAGAATCTAAAGAATCTAAAGAATCTAAAGAATCTAAAGAATCTAAAGAATCTAAAGAATCTAAAGAATCTAAAGAATCTAAAGAATCTAAAGAATCTAAAGAATTTAAAGAATCTAAAGAATCTAAAGAATCTAAAGAATCTAAAGAATCTAAAGAATCTAAAGAATCTAAAGAATCTAAAGAATCTAAAGAATCTAAAGAATCTAAAGAATCTAAAGAAGCTAAAGAAGAAGCTAAAGAAGCTAAAGAAGCTAAAGAAGCTAAAGAAGCTAAAGAAGCTAAAGAAGCTAAAGAAGCTAAAGAAGCTAAAGAATCTAAAGAATCTAAAGAATCTAAAGAATCTAAAGAATCTAAAGAATCTAAAGAATCTAAAGAATCTAAAGAATCTAAAGAATCTAATCTAAAGAATGGACGTATAGATACATTTAGTCAAGGATACAACTTGTAACTATAAAACGCACGAATTGTTGCGATGAACTAATGAGGTGATTCTGAAAGCATACAATGACTAACAAGTCGCAACAGACTGTGCTGACAAACCCCGCTCGCACTTCCGTTACAAAATAGGGGAATCGAAAGCGGAAGCGGAAGTAAGCAAATATGCAGAACTTTCCCATTTGCACTTGCATCTATTTTCTTGGGAAAAACACTACGCTCAATTGCTCGATGGCCAAGAATTTACCAATGTGTATTTTTGATGAAAAAAATATTTCTATTTAACAGATGGGAAAATCACTATTTATGCACCAATTTTGTTGAGCAAAAGGCCAAACCCGATTCCATGGCGTTTAGTCCTATCTATGAACAATAGACAAAAATTTTTCGTGGAGTAAATCAATTATGGGTTATCTTTTACGAGTATAGCGAACGTCGGTGCCTTCTAAATTAGCTACGAGTAGTCATCAGAAGTAATCCTAGTCATACGTGACTGGTTTATGCAGAAAGAGAACTTTATTGCGCGAAATAGGCGATCGGACGGACGTGAATATTGCGAAGCGACCGTATTAACACGTAAACGACTTAGGGTTCACGGGGCAAAACATTCCGGTACGCCCGCCAGCTGTGTAGTGGAAAAATACGTAAAAAACCAATTTATTAATTAAAGTTGTGCATCCAATATGTTTATATTAAGTGCGAACAAAATTATGAACAAAACGGCTACCGGTAAAAAGGTTAAAGACTAAATTTAAGTTTCTGGTTGTTAAAACCCTAAGTTACAACGGTACATTTTAGGAATTTATTTCTGTGAGTAACTCAAAGGTCAACTAATAAGCCTAAAGCGTGGTTAACTCCT